TTCCAGATCAGGGTACAGTTATGGACAGCTTCTGAATGTTATGGGGGGATGTCTTTGATCATTTCTGTTTTCCTCTTCTACCTGGGAGGGGGGGGAGAAGACATAATTGGGAGGTAGAAGATTGGAATAATAAACAAACAAGATATTGCTGGTCATGGCAGCACTTCACCGTGTACTGAAGACTAAAATAATTGAGAGATGTTTCCTTTTGCTGTGTTTTTGGGTGTTTAAAAATGTAGCTACTCACTGTGTTTATATTGTGAACATCTAACACTTAATAAAAGCAATCTTCACTTGGTTAAGATGAGTAATTTCTCATTTTGGAGCCACCCTGCTTTTATCACGTAACAGAATCTTATTTAAAGAACCACAGCTTTCCTTTAGATCCCATTTATATTCAGATCAATTTATAACCTTCTAATTCATAAGGTCATGTGATGGGCTATCATCTGAATCTTCCTAAGTATACTTTAAAAGATGCCTCACTGGGGTTTGTTGTTGTTGTGCTGTCTCTTACTCACATGAATAAGCATCATATAATACCCCTGATAATCATGTGATTAGTTGCTAAGCAGTGTGTGTATTTTGCTGTGGACAGGGAGATAATAGGAAATGTTCCCCTTTTCACTCTCGCCTATTTCATATTGATGCTCATGTAAAAATGCAGTAAAGCATTTTAACCCAAAAGAATCTGCCTGTTTCCAGAACATGTAACACTACTAAATACCAATCTTTACTTGAAATACAAAGCAGACTTTTTTTTAAAATGGGGCCAAATCTTAGTCCATCTGCCTAACTCGAATAAATGTCCATAGTGTAGTGGGGTGGCTGCCCTATCACTCCCTTTTCTGCTCAAACATGGCACAGCAAGTGCTCCCTGTCTAGTTTCCTCCTCTTTGGTAGTTCCACTGTGAGACAGAACTGTAGGTCACGATGTTATCCCCCTGCCTCAGTGAGAGAGAGACTTGCTAGTGCTAAACTGTGTGTCAGCTCCCTGGAACACTCAGTCAGTTAGCCACGCAAACAAACTCCTCAGGACTCTGCCAGCTGTTACTTTGCCTTGCCGCTTAACACTTTGTGTACCCAATTCCCCAAACTCCCCGAAGCGTCCGCCTGTAGTGTCCATCCCCTGACACTGGACACTCACAGTAATTATCAGGTAAGGGGTCCTCAAAGAGAGAGCGTACACACAGCTGGAAGGTTGCAATTCAGGATCAGATCCTTTATAACAACACCACACTGTAATCTATTTATGGTGAAAACAAATATAAGTTCATTAGCAAAGCACAGAGAATCACAGATTCAAGTGAGTATTGAGTCAGAATAAAGGAAACAGAAATGGTTACAAATAAAACAAAAGTATAACATGCTTTCTAGAGTCTAAAACTTAACATATTACATCCCTTGCCTAAAGCATGTTCTTACCCTCAGAGTCTTTCTTGCAGAGCTTGCTAGTTTTTCAGTCAGTCCAGGATCCATCTTAAAAACTTGTTAAACCTTCATAAACAATGGGTGATGATAAGCAGCAGTGTGTCAAGTAGTGGGGAAGTGTTCGGCTTCTCTGTTAGTCTATTTAGCACTTTCTTTAATAACCTGGAAGAAAATCACAGGTGATGTTAAATTTGTGGGGAGGGTTTGAGGACGCCAGTCCAGAGGACAGAGAAATAGTACAAAGGGACTCAGAGAGATAAGGAGTATAGGCAACAAATAATTACAGAAGATCCAGTTTGGGAAAATGCTGACTTTCTCCCCAGTTGTATTAGTCTGGAACATCCATAACTTAGTGAGAGGAAGAAACTTTGGAAGTGATATTTGGTAGAGGCCTGAAGATGATGATGATAAAGAACAAATTAGAGATGAGTTACAATGTGATATGGCTGTAAAAGTTGCATTTGGGGGCTGGATACACAAAGGCATCATGTCGCAGAGTAGGGAGGTTGACTTATTTGGGTGTATGTATCACTCTCGGTATGCGGCTCTGGTGCGACCCCACCCGGGGATCATTGAGTCATTGCTCTACCAGAAAGATGGGTGGGTTTACAATGCCAGAACAAAAAGGATCATAATTTGTAAAGAAAAATCATAAACCTAGATAAATATAGCTTGGCTTCAGGGTTGGACATAAGTCTACAGAGGGAGAGAAATTATTTAGTGTTGTATAAGAAGGAATAACTAAATAGTGATGGGATCATATTAAGAAAAGCATCCTGACAGGGAAATTTGTTTGACTGTGGAATAGTCTCCCAATGGAAAGCCCCTTTGCTTGGGATTCTTAAAACTAGGCTGGACAAAAATGCTAGGAAGTGTACTGTAGGAAACAAGCATATATTGACAGGAGATGGCCTGCAGGGTTCTTTCTATGTTTGCCTTCTGTGATTCTTGCAGGTCAGTGCATTCATGTATTCGCAGATGCAACACCTTGCTCATATCATACGCTCTCTGCATTGAGAGAAGAATCTAACAGGCTGTGTGCATTCAGCTGAAACTAAAGCCTTCTGTATGAGGTTGCCAGGAGTGTTATTGAGTCCTAAAGGTTGATTGGCATATTGCATAAATATTCTCAACTATTTTGCTAACCTTGACCCAGACTGGCAGAAACCTGGGGGACAAGGACACTGAGGGCAATGTTGTATTGTTCCACTCTCTCCCCTCCCTCTGTAATTCCTACGTCAATGTTGAATGGACTCCATGGTGTGGAAATCCCAGCAGTTGGCATGGGATTCCTTGGTACTGTGACTTCCACAGGAGTGAGATGCCCGGGAGCTGGAGGGGCTGAGGGAACCTGTGATGGATTGAACAGGCACAAGGCTGTCATAGGAGAGTACCTGGTGAACTAGTGACTCCATAAAGATCCTCAGGTTTTGGGAGCTGAACCTGCTGGTTATTCTGTGAGATGTAAAGCCTGATGCCTCCGCAACTGGTGATGTTTAAGTGGAAACTCCATGATGGGGACCTTGCAGAGTCTGAAATTTCCTACGTCTGATTTACCTAGTCTCATATTATATGATTAATATGAAGCAATTTCCTCTCAACATGAACTATAAGAAAAATAGATGATTAATGATGCTGTGCCTCTGACATACAAATATGTAGTTTCACTCAGTTTTTTCTGATGAGTAGATTTTTTTCTCCCCTGCAGTTAGTAGACACTGTTAAACGGCTTTAATGTAAGTACTGCCATAAATCTACTGTTAATTAGGTCATGTATCAAGTATTGTCCCAACAAACACTATTGTAAATGATGGCTTCAGTTTTCCAAAATTCTGTTTTAAATATAAGGAATATAGATACAGGGTTTAAACACTGATTTAAGTATCTGAAATAAGGTTAAGCAACAATGAAAAGCGTCTGTTTGGGAGAAAATGATGAAGAAGAGTGTCACAGTCCAGGGTAACCACATTCGTATTACCCTCCTGTGGTCCACCAAGGGCACCCACTTAACAGTTCCTGGATCCTCAGCTGTCACCTCCCTGGAGCAGCAACCCACATCTCTCTCCCTCCTGACCAGTGGTTTTCTAGGCTGCACGATTCCCTGCCTATACTGTGATATTCCCAGCAAGCCAGACTGCCTAACAGGCCAACGTCTGCACTTTACTTTCTCTGTGAAGGCTATGAACAGCATAATTGCACTCAGTTACAAGTTACAACACAGCTTTTTATAAGCAAGCAATTTATTTTTAAGGTGACAGCATTACCGATAACACACATTAAAAACAATAAAAGATCGTACACATATGCTAATAAGCTTATTAGATGCCATCCATTAGCCTGAGGAGGCCATAGTAGGTCAAATCCTTCCAACCATTCTGCAAGGATTGGGGGCCCCCTTTGGACAGAAGGTTCTGTCCATTTGCCAGATTACAAAGAAGGCCCTGTGTCCGCTTAAATTTAGGCTATTTATTTACAGGTTTTTTCTTTGTTGGTTTCTGGAGAATTTAATTTGAACTAGTATATGGGAGCCTCCCCAAAAGGTGGCACCTCTCTTGGGGGATTGCAACCTGGCTGATTTGCCTCAGTTACCACCCACTGTTTTTAGTTCCTGGAGGAGCTGTGGTAGCCCTCTCTTATGGAGTAGATCACAATTATACATAAACCATTAATTTTAAACATTGGACTCCAAAAATACTGCACGGTGTTGCAATATTTGTTACATCTCCCCCCTCCAGAGGTTAGATACAATCCTGACCCACAATAATACATAAACTTGATACAATAAGGTCATTTAAGGATATTGCAGGAAATTGCCATATCTGTCACAGAGAGATTGTATGTTTAAAATATTTTCGTTTGTGTGGGAAATACAAATTTAAAATATATGTCGCTTCAAGTCCAACTTTAGAGAATTCATAAAGATTATATATATATATAAAATGTATTGGAAGTTCAGATGTTTAACTGGACAATTATGTCCACGTTAGTATATTTAAAGTTGTTAAGAAATAAATCTACAGGTCTAAATTATTGTTTAGGTGGTACATGATTTTGTAATTACAGAGCCAATTAAAGATCCTTTTGTAAAATCATGATACTATAAATTGGGCCCATCAGCACAAATGATTCTCCATAAGTGTACAGAATGAGAATGCATCAACTTATATTTGTAAATTTTCTCCATACATTTCATAGTTAGGCAGAACATCTAACAATTAGTTAAATCCATGTAAACTTTACTTGCCTATTTTCATGTGGAGTTTGTGCATCTATTTAACTAATCTATGAATAACTCCTGGAGACAAAATGAAATAGTCTGGTAGAGAACTGCCAAAAATAGATCCTTGCCAGTTTTCCTGAGAAGCTGGCATCACTCGTTATCCTATCCTCCATATTATGTTTAAGCCAAAAATGTGTGGGGTAGCAGAGGGAGCTTCATGCAAACATTCTTCAGTGAGTAAGAAAGGGAACAGCGTAAATAGTAAGTTTAGTATATTCCAAAATCCACTGATGTCAGCAAACATCAGCAAAGCAAACTTTGTTTTTTGTTTTAAATCTTCTAATTTTAGGAGCAGGTTCCAGTTCCTGTTTATCATCCAACTCCTAGCCAGACTCGGCTAGCAACACAACTAACAGAAGAGGAACAAATTAGAATAGCGCAAAGGATAGGCCTTATACAGCACCTGCCTAAGGGAGTCTACGATCCTGGACGAGATGGCTCTGAGAAGAAGATTAGAGAGTAAGTTACACAAACTGGTAGTTTTAAGGTGGCAGTGGTTTATTTTTTGGTTTGTTTGTTTTTTGTTTTTTTAAGTGACATTTCTGCAGGAGAGTGGATCTTGGGAGGAGAAGACTTTTTCTCTTTTTTGCCTTGTTTTATTCTTCATCTCACTTTCCTTGATTAGCAATGAGATTATATACCCTAGGGCAGGGGTGGGCAAACTACGGCCTGCGGGCCAGATCCAGCCCGTCAGGGATTTGGATCTGGCCCGCAGGATTGCCACCCCCGTGGCGCCGTGCGCCCCGTGCCGCTCCCAGAAATGGCCAGCACCACGTCCCTGTGGCCCCTGGGGGAGGGGAGGCAGAGGGCTCCGTGCACTGCCCTCGGCTGCAGGCACCGCCCCCCACAGCTCCCAATGGCCGGGGGAGGTCCCGACAGGCAGCGCACAGAGCCCTCTGCTCCCCCTTCTCCAGGGGCCGCAGGGACGTGGTGCCAGCCACTTCTGGGAGCAGCCCAGTGCGCGCTGCTGCCACCCTGGAGCTGCTCCAGGTAAGCGGTGCCGAGCCGGAGCCCGCACCTCAAACCTCTCCTGCACCCCACACCCCAACTCCCTGCCCTGAGCCCCCTCGCGCACCTCTCCTGTACCCCAACCCCCTGCCGTGAGCCCACTCCTGCACTCTTCCCTGCACCCCTGCCTGGAGCCCCCTCCCGCATTCCACACCCTCTCCTGCACCCCAGCCCCCTGCCCTGATTCCCCTTGTACACCCCGTACCCCTCCTCTGCCCCAATCCCTTGCCCTGAGCCCCTTCCTGCACTCCTCCCTGCACCCCTGCCCTGAGCCCCCTCCCACATTCCACACCCCCTCCTGCACCCCAACCCCCTGCCCTGAGCCCCATTGTACACTCCGCTCCCCTCCTCTGCCCCAACCCCTTGCCCTGAGCCCCTTCCTGCACCCCGCACTCCCTCCCACACCCCGCACTCCCTCTTGCACCCCAACCCCCTGCCCCAGCCCTACATTCATGGCCCTCCATGCGATTTTCCCAGCCAGATGTGGCCCTTGGGCCAAAAAGTTTGCCCACCCCTGCCCTAGGGTGAAGTAGATGCCAAAATACCACTGCAAAAGCAGTCTTCCCCATCCCTGCTCAGACCACATCATCCCATTCCTTGAATCCCTCCATTGGTTGCCTCTAACAAACTAAAGCTCCTATTTCTCTCCTACCTAATCTTGTCCCCAAAAACATCTGTGTTCCTCTCTGCCCTTATTCCCCCACCTCCATGCTGCTCCCAGTCCTTTTGGTCTTACTGATCCTTCTGTCTCCTTTTTTGCATTTCTGACTTCATGCCTTCTACCATCCTCCCTTCTTCTCCGCATCAAGAATAATCACAGCCTTTCTCTCCTGAATTGTTGTCCCATGTTTTGCTTATCTTGTCTTATTAAGATTATAAACTCTTCAGGGCACAGACTGTGTCCTAGCTATGTTTGTAAGACATCCTGTAAATGTATGGTACCATATAAATATTTTTTAAGCAACAATATATTTAGCTTAGTAGTTTCCATTCATTGTAATGGAAGTGTCAGGCTGCAATCAATCTCCTGAGTTTTGATAGTAATAAGGAGGTTTCTCTTCGCTCTTTTCTGAAGCCTGACTGCCATAAGGAAATTTACAGCTTTCTTTCCAGGCCAAGTAGTGGTTTTAAGGAACGTTGTTTTCCATGCACCACTATCACTGAAGTTTTCCTATGCCTTGTCCCATCCCTCTGATAAGTGAGTTAGAGACAGGTTTGAATAGTCTTCAGTGGTGAATCACTAGGGCTTTGATTTTTGAGCTGAAAGTCTGCTTGCTGTAGCAAGTAGGGTTCCTGAAGTTTCACGTACTGAGAGGAAAATGGATGTATTATGGTAGATGTCTCTTCACCTGACTAAGTTACAGTAACTTGATCATTTCTCCAACAAGTCAAAGTGGATTTGACCTGGTCTAGTAATCTCATGGAAATACTATGCTACTGCAGAAGGGCCAAAAGTTTGAGACTTGAACTTGGTTCTTCACTCCTAGCTTGGTAGAGAATTAGAGTGGCCACTCCTGGCACTACTGAAAGTATTCTGGTGCCTTGGTGGTTTCCAGCCATTTATACTGGGATATGGAGATTGAGCTTCTGTCCTCCAGGCATAGGACAAGTCTCAAGAGACTCCTGTTGATTGATTGGAAGAACACCCTGTGATTCAGGCTCAAGTACTCTGACTGGCCTACATAGAACATTGAGTCAATGGCAAAGTAACAGCAGCACAGCTGTGTTGGGCACATCTGATTGCAGCATGCTGGAGAGAGTCTGGCTGCTTCATGTGGGAGGGAAATCAGGAGCACAGACAACAGTCCCTCATGAGGAGGGAGGTGCTGAGTCAAGAGAGAGGGGTTGGCCTAAACAGAAAAGTTGCATTGTTTAACGACAGGTGTGATTTTAAAAAACTGATTTAGTTAAACCAGTCTCGCTTTGTGTGGACACACTGTTTTAAGAGTGTTTAGTTTAAGTTGATTACAAACAGGTTCTCACATAATCCCATGATTCCAGGAGCTCTGGCTTTAAAAATAAACACTAGATAGCACGAGATTCACAATAAAATCATGGGAGTTGGCAACATTGTCAGCTTATGCCACTAGAAAGCACCATTCCAGAGCTTTTCTTCCTTGAAAGCTGTATTCTTCAAAATGGCGACATCTGCCACTGTAAATCATTCCAAAATATAGAAAAAAGGAACTGCACCTCAGAGCGTTCATGTCAGAATCTCTCACAGAATCGGTTGAACTGAGCAGCAGCCTTTTCAGTTATGGCACAGAGCACAGCATTGATTGTGAATGCCTGAAGGAAATGGCCTGTGGCGGGAGATGGAGACCAGGGGAATTACAGTAGTTGTGGCTTCTTCAGTTTTGAGGGCCTTTTTACATTGATCAAACAAGTTACAGTGTTTGATAGAGTCAAATCATCCCCCTGTGGGTTATAACCACACAGCTCACTGGAAACTGAGCTTGTATTCAGCATCCTCCTAATTTTGTTGGATGGGAGGGGTGCCCCTCCCCCACATGGGTAGATTATACAGAGTGAGGAGTTGGGATAAAAAGCATTACTTTGGCAGGATGTGCCAGAGGCTAATGTCATCCACATGGAGGCTCTGTGGGATTTTAGGGACGTAGCATCGAGAGCACTCCCAAGAAAGCTAGTGCTGATGGCATTAGTGTTAATTTACCCAGGAAATCCCCATCCTGTCTACGAGAGGATGAGGTGAAGAGAACAGCTTCCCCACCTGCCCCTTCCACACCTGTGGAGCCCAGCCCCAGCAGAGGAGGCTTATATGGGGCTGGGGGAAGTGAGTCAGTGGCATAGAAGAATTGCCCCCTTCAACACCCCTTCCTCCAGTTTGCAAGTTGTTTGTCCCCTCCACATGTGGACTTGGAGGGATGATTTGGCCTACATGTTTTTGTCCCATAGTTTAACTCTGAGAACCTTGGTTTTTTTTTAAAGTGAAGTTCTGATTAATATTTATAAGTCAACTACTGCAAATAGCTTCGTACCCAGGCATGTCACTTACTCATTTTAAAGTAGAAATAGCTTTGGCTGGCTGGAGAAGTCCACTTTTAAAAAGCATTAAAGAATAGGTAATAATAGAATTATTTACTTACATAGAGCCATTGTAAAGCACAGTCCTTCCGAGGCAAAGATGACAAGGTCCTACTCCATGGAGTTTAAATTAAATACGTGCAACAGTGGTAACTGAGGGGGAGTGGAGGAGAGGCAGCCATAAATGGTGAGAGTCAGAGAGGTTGTTCCCTTTATGAGAGCTGAGGATGCGCAGTACCATGCAAGAAGTACACTGCTTCGAGCAAGCTCAGCCCGTAGTGTGGCCATGCACTGCAAGTCACGCCTGGTGTGTTTTCCCATGGTTCTCATTATCTACGGTTTATTTAAATTATTTTATTTATGGGAGGGGCAGGGGGAACACTGAAGGGTTTAATTCAGCCTTTTACTTTTCAAGGTTAATCTTTATTTTAATTTTTGTTATAAATGGTGTTGGGCATAGAATTAAGGAGACTTGTTAATGAAGCTAACGTAAAATGTATTCAGATGTTGATGTGATAATAAACTTATCCTGGTGCTTTTCTCCAATAAACATAGTAGCAGGGTAGGTAATACTGCTGCTTAACTTTCCAAAGCGATAAGAGTATCTTAACATTTCTCCAACTTCTTTTTCCTCAGATGTGTGATCTGTATGATGGACTTTGTTTACGGGGATCCTATCCGATTTCTGCCATGCATGCACATTTACCACCTGGACTGTATAGATGACTGGTTGATGAGATCCTTTACATGCCCCTCCTGCATGGAGCCAGTTGATGCAGCACTGCTTTCATCATATGAAACTAACTGAGCCAGGGTTTTGCCTCTGACCCATCAAGGAAACCATCCATTTTAATGGGTTTGATCCTTTGTCATTCAGCCCAAAGAGCCAGGGATTAGGAGTTAAGATCATGCACAAAACGTACATTTCCTAACAATTCCTGAATGGCTGCAGATATTGGAAAAACACATAATATTTTAGGGAATATAGAAAAAGTAGGAAGTTATTTTATGGAAAGCCTTGACCCAATGTTTAAAAACATAGTTGTCCTTTAACGCCTGTTATTACACACACACACATAGGAATTGTATAAAGTTCTAAAAAAACTGTAAATGTTGAAATGGAGTGTATCAAATTTTCTTAGAAGCGAGATAAGGATATTTTTTCCTAAAATAAAGGAACAATTTTTGTTCTGATTCCTTTCACAAGTTCCTGGTATTTGGGTCAAGGCTTTATTAAAAGCTACATTTTATAACACTGGCACAAAGAAATAGTTTTAAGCTTGTTTGCACAGTTCTTTTTTTTCCATTGGAAATGGAATCCATTGCCTTAGGTCTTTTTAAATAGTGTATTGTTATCGTTGGGCTGGCTCTACGCTTGAAATCCAGTTTATTTATAATCTGTTAAAAGTGCTATATTTTGTTTGCAGTTAGGATTATGCAGAATTCAAAGTGATCTCCTAGCCTGTAAGCAAATGGAGATGCACTGTCCCTTTTCTATAAGTGACAATTCAGTGTAAGGATGCAAAACAAATCTGCCAGTTAAATTTTGTTTTACCCTTTTCTGTTTGTTTTTCCTTAATTTGCTTCAGTTTTGATCAGACAATGATACTTAAACTTAAGTATCAACATTTTTGATTTATGATGTTAAAAGTGGACCACTGTGCTTCAGGACAAGATGAAAATGGAGCCATGGTGATTAAACTGTTCAGAACCATTTATTTCCCTTCTTACAAAATTAATGTCAGCGTTGATTACTTCTCCTGCCAATGTCTTACACCATAGCAAAAGGGTATTGCATCTCTCCTTCCTGTAGTTCTTCTTAGGTTATTGAAATTAAAAATAAACATACTGTATCTCAGTCTCTGAATGAAATGTATTTGTTAAGTCCTACTGGTGGACATTTCAGATATAAGAACTGTATTTTATGTTTTGCACATAAATGTTAAGTTCATATATAAACACAATTTCATAGTGATCAAGGGGAAAAAATAGTACAGCTAAAGTAGAAGCGATACAAGTGTCTGCAATTCTGAATCAGAAAAGGTATGTGCTTGGTAGAAACAGTCTAGCAAAAATTGTAGCTTTCAATCTTTGTATCCGCTTAGCATGTGTTTATTTTTTTCTTAAATGTACTCTACTGCAGTGGTCCCCAAAGTGTGAGGCACACTCCCCTACGGGGGCACAGAGGAACATTCAGGGGTAGCACGGTGGGGCCTGAGCTAGCCCACACAGGGGGCAGGGAGGCAACACACCCAGCCCCGCTCTGCCCCCAGCCCAGCTCCGATCCCAGCTGCAGCTCTGCTCTGCCCTTAGCCACAGCTCCAATCTGTCCCCTGCTCTGCCCCCATCCCAGCCCCACTCTGCCCCTGCTTCATCCCCAGCCAGCTCTGCCCTCATTCCCTCTCTGCCCCCAGACCAGCTCCTCCCAGATCCCCAACTCTGCCTTCAGTCCAAGCTCTTCTGCTAAGACAACTGTGCAGTAATGGAAGGGAGACTTGGACAGATTCCATTACTGGTAAGGGGCGGGGCAGGGACAGCGACAGGAAAAGTTTGGGCACCACTGCTCTACTGTGACTTTTATACACTCAGTGCAAAGCTGATACATTGAGAAAGCTTATTCTAGTAAATGGGATGCAGCCTGAAGTTAACTGCAATGAATAAGGGAACATTCTTGATTGTTCTGTGTATATAGTTTGAGTGCTTGATGTAACAATTTATATTTAAACACAAGTACTTTGAAAACTCTGTGTACTTATAATATAGAGCAATTATATGTCATTAATGATTTTAAAAGGTTGGTCAGTAGAATGCAGAATCAACATGCTGGTTTATTTATTAGCCCTGCAGCTGAAAGCTACACACTGTATTGTATATGAATTCCGTAGGTATTCAAAAGCAGTTCAGAACAATCTACAGTACCAGATTCGTTGAAATTGTTACACGTTGCCTGATTTCCCCCTGCCTTCCCCTTTATGAGAGAGAGAGAGACACACACACACACACACACACACACTGACTTAATTACATGAAGCAATTCTGAGAGGAAAGACCTGAAATTGTGCAATGTTCTGAGTGGCAAATCATTGTTGTGTGTGTGTGTATAACATCATAATATCCATGTTTGTCAAGTATTCTAGTCAGAATTTTTTCCTTTTGCCTTGATTTTTAAAATTGGCAAATGAACAATTTTTAAACATCTTTTTCATGTTGGTATTAGTCTGTCTATTATAATATGTGATTATGAAAGATTTGGAAGGAGCACTGAAATGACTGGTTATTGAGCTGAATGGTTTTCCAGGCACTTTGTATTGTTGAACTTTTAACACTGATATACAGTGTTAAGAGAAACAAACGTATGCTTTAATTAAATTACTTGTTAAATAAAATTATAACAAAAGGTGTAAAGGGCTAGAGTTAGAATTGATTACACAAGAACATTCCAAAAACAAATTTTAATTTAAAATGTGTAAATATAATGAATACATTAATTGATTTTAAACCTCTAGGTGCAATGCTGTTGCATAATAGACTTGCTTTTCCATAACTAAATAGCCTAAATTCAGATTTTTGGGGGGCTTTTAATTCATACACCCAAAATGAATATAAGTAATTTACTTAAGCCCAGGAAAGAATAGTTTCAAGAGAACTGTGTAGATTGAGATTGTAGATCACTTGGATTCTAGCCCCAGCTCAGAAACTACTTCCTTTGTGTCTAATTCCCCCATCTGTAAAAATTAGGATAATACTTGCTTCCTACTTTGCAGGGGTGTTCTGAATTAATTATTGACACCTCAAATACAAACACACTAGACAACTTGATTGCAACACAGTTGTTTCCTAACCTACTTACAACTGCGGATCCATTTGTGGTGTAGCATAGATCTTACCAGTCTAAATCAGTTTTGTAATTCTGATATGGCCACCTGTTTTAACCTGTTTCCCTGCTGTGGTTGTATTTTTAGCGTAGACAGTCCCTTAGTATTTATTATAATGCTTTTCATCTTCAAAGCACTTTGCAAACATTAAACTAAGTATAATTAAGCATGATTTTAAAATCCTTTAAAAATCTTTACCTGAAAAACTACTAGTAAAATACTGAACTTGTAAAAGCAGTTCACCACTAAAGGAACTTTGGATAAAAATAGTCTTTATTGTTTTAAAGCATCCCTTAGCAATTATACATATGATTCACTATGATATCATAAATGCTTTACAAAACTTAATTGCACATTTTATAAAATATTGGGTGCTCAATTCCATAGTTGCTATAGATAATTAACAAACACACTATTAGAAATGTTGTGAGTGTTATTGGTGGTATTGTTTTAATCCTTTCACCTATAAAGCCAGCTCCCTTAATACTGCGAGCCAAGCTGTGTAGGCTTCTGAGGGAAGAGAAATTAGGTAATTCTAAAAGTTAATTTTTTTTATACATACAATTATGATTTTAAGGTACCAATATCTTGCAACCTTTCTGGATTAGGAGCAACTGTCCCCTTGGAAAGATGACAAACCCCTTTTCTAGTGATGTAAAGCACAAATTTCTAGCCCAAGGGATTACAAGATATCAGACCTTAAACTTGTCAGTGATGGTTTCTTTCTTTCTTTTTTTGATGGCAGATGTTTGAAACGGCTGAGAGGCTTTGAATGTTACATTAAGTCCTGGTGAAGATGGAGTAGTGGACAGAGTGCAGGTTAGGTGATCAAAAGTGCATGTTAAATACAGTTTATCACATGGCTATCACTAGTATGTGCATACACTCTTATGTATGTGTATGTGTGCATTAGATTCATTCCTTGAAGAGCTTTCTCTTCAACAAGCAGTTGAATGTCAGATAAAACCAACACGTGGGAATGTTTCTTATAAAATCTATAACTGTTAAGCCATCCATAGAACAGTCCCAGATTTAATATCCAGAATAAATGTTTGTTTTAAAAGATTAAATTCCTTTTACACAGAATTTTAGTTTTGGGGGGAAATTGTGGACATGGTTGTGTGCTAATAATTCTTAACAAGCTGTCCGCTGTTAAATCCTATTCCAGGATCAGAAAGTGGGGCCTTTGACTTTCTGCAGATGAAATGCTTAATTTATGCTTTTTGATAAAGGGATTAATGTAAACATTTTCTTTTAAAGTATACTTTTGATTTATGTAGAAGAAATAGCTAGAGTTGCACACTGCCAGCAAATTTCTGATGACTTCAACTTTGCATACAAGCTTAGAGCAGACAATTATAAGCCACAGAGAAAAACCGTTGAAATTTAGAATACACATTGCTTCATTATCTGCAAATATAGGCGATTGATAACTTTAAAGACAATTGTTCTATCAGGCAATCCTGTTGTACTGGGAGGGCAGCTTAATTACATTTTCTGGTTTAGAGGGAAGTTCAAAATTATAAATCATTAAGTCAGTGCAAGCTTAATAGATCCATGCTGCCAAGGAGCCAGGGTCCCCTTTGGGAAAGGACACAGACGGGTCTAGCTTCTTGTGGATCCCAGCAATCCACCAGGTGTGGGGATATGTCCTGTAGCCTTTGACGGTGAAAATCCCAACTTGTGTGAGGAGCTCCACAAAGCAATCATAGACTTGCTTGTCCAGAAACAATTTGTGTGGGTTTTTCCTGTGGGATAGGAGGATCTTGGCCAGGTGCAGTTGCTATTTTAAATATATGGTTTCCTTTCTGAATTGTTCCAACTTACAGCTTGGATGTTTGAGCTGAGAGTGGTGAGACTTGAGTACTTTTGATTCCCTCTTGATCACACAAGCCAATGGTAAAGTCCCTTATGCTTTTTGCATTTCCTTTTTATCCAGTCCATGAAATAGTGTTGTCTCAGAAAAGCAAAATGTATGAGTATATGTATCCACACACATTTTATAGTGCTAAAATCTAGCCACCTGAACACTTCAGGTTTGCTATGCAATAGCAAAAGTCCTCTCTCTACAAATAAGAAATGATAAGCTAAAATGTATAGGTCTGTAGCTTCAACACCTTGCTTATGCAGAAGTTTAATAGATATTTAGCAATCATTCTAGGCAGTAATATCTCAGTCAACACTGTGGTGTTTGAAATAGAACTTTCACAATATCATCAGTCTCATCTTCTCTACAGAAGGATACTGGCAACATCCCTCGGGGTTTTTCCACTATTTCTAGTAGTTTTGTCATATTCCAAACTCATGATTTCTAAAGTTGTGAAGAGACAAAGATATAGTGTAACTGTGTGATTGTTCTATTACCCTGTTTCTCTGTAATAAAAAAAGCAAGTCTTATGGCGTTGGAGGAAAATGTCAATTTTAAGGTATGACTCAGATTTTGGCAGAATTACAATAACTGGAATTAAGTGGTAATTAAATTTATTTTAATATAATTACATAGAATAGACATTCCAGAGTGTGGAAGTATGTCTTCCCAAAAATTGTGCTGTATTCTTCATAACTTTACTTTATAGTAAAAAAATAAACAGGGGAAGTTCATAGAGCTCCATGGTTTTCATCCAACTCTAGCCTAGACATATAGAACAGCACTTTCCATTGTCAACGCTAATAGTACTAGCAGGGCTAGCAGCATCATGTACATGTGGGTGGTAATCAGCAAATGCTTCACTAGTGCTCATTGTACTAGATTCAGCCAATAAATATGCTCATCTAGGGGTGGCTAGACAGAGTGGCCATGTCATGAGGCTGCAGTCATGTGAAATAATATGTCCAAGGCATATAGTTAGTTTTTTTTTTTTTTTAAACAAGCAGCTGCAAGTAGTAACAATACAAATAAGTCTCTACCCAACATGTATGTTTGTTTGTAATCCAGAGAACTGAGTCATTTGCTACTGTTAACTAATGTAGGGTAATGATTGTCAAAAGGAATTAACTAAAGTACAGAATGCTGTTGAGCTTACTTTGTTTTGTGCTTTTCCTATAAAACAAGGCCAGTAACCGTGAATACAGTGAAATTTACCAAAATACATAGTTTTGAATAATCATTTTGTCTTACAGTGCTAGCTAGTAATATGCAGAAGTAGGTCCATAGAGAACAGAATATAATGAATTATCCCAATCCTGCAGAAATATTACTGAATGGAGAGGGAAATCCCTGAAAAATTTTACCAAAATGGTATGCAGATTTCTTTAGCTTTGTTTCTGTTGATAAATCTTGGTCAGTAAATCACTGTTGCTCTATCTGTTTAACACAAGAGATTTGTGTGAGGCTATTTTTCGTTGTTTCTGCTTTTTTTGTTTTAAAGCAATTCTAGAAGCACAGTATTTCCAAAAGTTAAAGATTTATTTAAAATATTGATACCTTCCAAACATATATCACTCTTTCATTCATTCGCTAACAGAGGAGGTATTTCTATTAATGTGACTAGAAGAGAGCCAGTTTCATTTATACTGTCATCTCTCCAAAGCATTAGGAAAGTTGATCATGCATTACAGAGATGTTTCCCTCCGTATCCTTTGGACAGTGAGAGAGAGAGAGAGAGAGAAAACGGGTGAAGCTACGGTACATTGTTTTTCCCACTACATCTTCCAGGTGAGCCGTAGCTAACACCTTCATCTTACGGGGACTACGCTTTGTGCTGCAAGGTAGCAAAATGTTAAGAAATTGTACTGCAGGACTCCTGAGAGATGGACTTTTAGCAGGACTCCAAAGGCTTGTTCACTTTTCTGCACAGCATAGGGATGATGTTGATTTTCATGGCATTTCTTGTTCAACATATGCCTACACCTTTGAAAAGTAATAAGCAATTGGAATTAGAAGAGCTGTATGTGTAAAGCAGGACAAGAATCTTTTGATTATATAAAAACACATGGCAGTGCTGAATCTATGCTTTTTCTCATAACTATTGATACATAATATGAAGATCGTACAGCTGCCCCACCGTGTAGTGTATATGTGAGTATGTTGAACTAGGAAAGTCCTGTCTCTAGAAAAGACATTCCCACCTATGATTTTAATGATGGAAGACCAAGGATATCTTTGTATTTGTTTTTAAGGGTATGAGTTGAACATTCTTAACCAATCAGCCTGGTGGAAAGGCATTGGTCTGTGCTCCGACCTATTAATTTGCATTGGGAAACAATTTTACTTCTTCTCTAGAGGAAGAAAGGGCAAACTATAAACTGCCCGATTTCCTTCCTCCTGCCGGGAAAAATCCTGCAGGAGGGGGTAAGAGAGGTGGGACCATTCTTCTTTGAGGTTCACTTTTATGGAGCTTCCTGCAGAACAACATGTTGTGGGGAAAAGGAGCAGTGGAGTTTACAGGGCCTTTCATCAACATGGAGCCTGGCATGCAAGAAGGGACTCCCTCACAGTGCAGGCAGGAGCCTGCCTGCAGAAATGGCCCTCTCTCCTCTTACTCCACCCACCCTCTACTGAGAACAGAGTTGCTGAAGGAGCCCAGAGGGCAGTAAATACAACTTAAGGCTGCGTTAACTCCAAACTGGACTTCTGTGCAGAAATCTAGCCATTCTCCAGCAGACAGTGCCAGGCTGAGGCGCCCTGAAATCTCTACAGAGCACTTTCCTCTCAGATTTGCAGCAGAGGGGCATCTATGGAGAATAAGGGCAGAGGGGCAATGAGACTGTAGGCACATTGCTCCCTCTTGTGGCAAGAAGGAGATCTACACACAGGAGTTGCTCCAGCCCAAACTTCTTACTATGGAAAACATTTATAAAGAATCTTTTTAAACATGGAAATAGCAGCTACATGAGCCATGATTTCCAGGAAAAGTTTACTGTCAAATTAATTTTGTACTGCTGAACAAATAGTGGAATAGTAGTCAGGGCCGGTGCAAGGAAGTTTCGCCTAGGGCGCGAAACTTCCACCTTGCGCCCCCCCCAACCCTGCGGCAGCTCCCCGCCCCCCTCCACCCTGAGGCGCCCCCTCCC